TGTGCCTGATGTTCCGCGTGGGCGACCTGCGCGACTCGCACATCGTGGAGGCCTCCATCCGCGCCAAGCTCATCCAGTCCAAGCAGACCCAGGAGGGCGAGTTCATCCCGCTCGACCAGACCGACCTGAGCGTGGGATTCGAGGACCGGCGACGATCGGCTCTTCCTGGTGTCGCCGCTCATCATCAGCCACGAGATCGACGAGCGCAGCCCCTTCTGGGACGTGTCGCGGGGGCAGCTGGAGAGGGACGACTTCGAGATCGTCGTCATCCTCGAGGGCATGGTGGAGGCCACAGGTAAACGGGGCGGGGACACCTCGGTGGCGTGGGGAAGCCTCGGTGGTGCAGGGACACCTTGGCGGCACATGGATGCCTCAATGGCACGGGGACGCCTTGGTGGCACGGGGACGCCTTGGTGGCACGGGGACGTCTTGGTGGCACGGGGACGCCTTGGTGGCATGGGGACACCTTGGTGGCATGGGGATGCTTTGGTGGCATGGGGATGTGGTGTCTTTGTGTGGATACGTCCATGGAGATGTCACCTCTGTGGGACACGTCTTTGTGGGGATATATTTTCTTCATGGGACACATCACGTCCATGGGACACATCTGTGGGGACATGCCCATGAGGACACATCATCTCTGTGGGACAGATCCATGGGGACATCTCCATGAGGACACATCATCTCTGTGGGACAGATCCATGGGGACACGTCCATGAGGGACACGTCATCTTCCTGGGGACATCTCATCTCTGTGGGGACATCACCTCCATGGGGACCCATCACCTCCATGGGGACATCTCCATGAGGACACATCATCTTCTTGGGACCCATCACCTCCATGGGGACACATTGTCTCCTTGGGGACACCAACATGGGGACACATCACCTCCATGGGGACACCTCATCTCCATGGGGACACATCAGTGGGGCCGTGTCATCTCCACATGGATAGATGCCTTCATCTCCACATGGATAGATGCCTTCAGGTATTGGGGTGCCCCAAACTCTGGGGGTTTCACAGACCCCTCCTACCAGATTTGGGGTTTCCTGTGTCCTGGATTCTTCGGGTATTGGGGTCCCCATGCCCTGAGTGACTCAGATATCGGGGTGCCCCCCACCTTGTGCCCCCCAGGGATGATGTTGCCAGGTGTGCAGCTCCTACCTGGCGGACGAGGTGCTCTGGGGTCAGGAACCTTCAGGTTTTGGGGTCCCACAAGGTGCTGTGGGGTCAGGAACCTTCAGGAATTGCGGTCCCCATGCCCTGAGTTGATTCAGGAATTGGGGTGCCCCAAACTCTGGGGGTTTCACAGACCCCTCCTACCAGATTTGGGGTTTCCCGTGTCCTGGATTCTTCAGGAATTGGGGTCCCCATGCCCTGAGTGATTCAGGAACTGGAGTCCCCCATGCCCTGAGTGATTCAGGAATTGGGGTCCCCCATGCCCTGAGTGACTCAGATATCGGGGTTCCCCTCACCCCGTGCCCCCAGGGATGACGTGCCAGGTGTGCAGCTTCTACCTGGCGGACGAGGTGCTCTGGGGTCAGGAACCTTCAGGAATTGGGGTGCCCCAAACTCTGGAGGTTTCACAGACCCCTCCTATCAGATTTGGGGTTTCCCGTGTCCTGGATTCTTCAGGAATTGGGGTCCCCATGCCCTGAGTGATTCAGGAACTGGAGTCCCCCATGCCCTGAGTGATTCAGGTATTGGGGTCCCCATGCCCTGAGTGACCCAGATATCGGGGTTCCCCTCACCCCATGCCCCCCAGGGATGACGTGCCAGGCTCGCAGCTCCTACCTGGCGGACGAGGTGCTCTGGGGTCAGGAACCTTCAGGAATTGGGGTGCCCCAAACTCTGGAGGTTTCACAGACCCCTCCTATCAGAATTGGGGTTTCTCATGTCCTGGATTCTTCAGGAATTGGAGTCCCCCATGCCCTGAGTGATTCAGGAATTGGGGTCCCCATGCCCTGAGTGATTCAGGAATTGGGGTGCCCCCCACCCCGTGCCCCCCAGGGATGACGTGCCAGGCTCGCAGCTCCTATCTGGCGGACGAGGTGCTCTGGGGTCACCGTTTCACGCCGCTGCTCAGCCTGGAGGAGGGCTTCTACGAGGTGGACTACGGGGGCTTCCACCACACGGTGCCCGTGCCCACCCCGGCCTGCAGCGCCCGCCAGCTGGCAGCCGCCGCCGCCCGCCGCGATGCCCACCTGTACTGGTCCATCCCCAGCCGCCTGGACGAGGCTGCGGCCGCGGGGGCGAGGGGACCCCGAAATGTCCCCCCGCGAGAGCAACGGGACCTTGGCCAGCCCCGAGTCGCGGTGATGCCACCAAAATCCAGGTGTAAATAGGGAGAATCACCCTCCCCTGTTGTGGTGGTGGTGGTGGTGGGTTTGGGGTGTCTCTGAGTTTTTTGGGCGTCCCTGGGTTTGTGGGGCAAGGGGGACCCCAAAATCTCTCAGGAGATAAATGGGACCTTGGCCAACCCCAAGCTGAGGCGATGCCACCGAAATCTGGGTGTAAATACTGAGAATCCTCCCCATGATGGTGGTGGTGGTGGTGGTGGGTTTGAGGTGTCCCTGGGTTTGGGGAGACGAAGGGGACCCCGAAATTTCTCAGGAGAGCAACGGGACCTTGGCCAGCCCCAAGCTGAGGTGATACCACCAAAATCTGGGTGTAAATACTGAGAATCCTCCCCGTTATGATGGTGGTGGTGGGTTTGGGGTGTCCCTGGGTTTGTGGGGGCAAAGGGGGAACCCAAAATCCCCATGAGAGCAATGGGACCTTGGCCAGACCTGAGTTGAGGTGATGCCACCAAAATCCAGGTGTAAATAGCAAAAAATCCCCCCAATTATGATGGTGGTGGTGGGTTTGGGGTGTGAGCGGGTTGATCTGGGGTGTCCGTGGGTTTATGGGGGCAAAGGGGGCCCCAAAATCTCTCAGGAGACCAACGGGACCTCGACCAGCCCCGACTTGCAGTGATGGTCCCAAAACACGAATTTATTTATTAAATATCCCCCCAGTTCTGATGGTGGTGGTGATTTTGGGGTGTCATTGATTGATTTGGGGTGTCCCTGGGTTTATGGGGTGATGGGGACCCCGAAATCCCCTGGAGAGGGCAAAGGGACCTTGGGCAGCCCCTGCAGGCACCAAACATTGGGTGCATCAAATAAAAACCCCCATTCCGATGGTGGAGCTGGTTTTGGGGTGCAGACGGTGGATTTGGGGTGTCCCTGGCTTTTTGGGGTATCCCTGGGTTTGGGGCCTCGGGGGAGGGGAAATCCAGAGGCTCCAGTGAGGAATTTGGGGTGAAATCGGGGTGCCCTGACCCCAAATCCTGCAGGGGTGGCAGGAAGGGGTCAGTGCCACCCCTCCAGGGACATGGGGACCCCCAGGGTGGGTTTGGGGTCTCCCAAGGACATGGGGACCCCCAGGGTGGGCAGGGGGTCCCCCCTCATTGCCTCTCCCCCCAAATGTCCCCACGGGATCCCCCCCCAGATTGGGGGTGGGGGGCGGTGCTGGGGGATGCGGAGCCGAGAGGGGCCGAAAGGAACCGAAAGAAGCCGAGTGAGGCCGAGCGGAGCCGAGCCGGGGCTGAGAGGAGCCGAAAGGAGCCGAAATCACACGAATGAGGCCGAGAGGAGCCGAAAGGAGCCGAACGGATCCGAAAGGACCCGAATGGGGCCGAGCGGAGACGAACGGATCCGAAAGGACCCGAATGGGGCCGAGCGGAGACGAACGGATCCGAAAGGACCCGAATGGGGCCGAGCGGAGCCGAACGGATCCGAAAGGACCCAAATGGGGCCGAGAGGAGCCGAACGGATCCGAAAGGACCCGAATGGGGCCGAGAGGAGCCGAACGGATCCGAAAGGACCCGAATGGGGCTGAGCGGAGCCGAACGGATCCGGAAAGACCCAAATGGGGCCGAGAGGAGCCGAACGGGGGCTGAGCGCCACCAAAACCCCGCCCATTCCTGACCCCGCCCCCTCCCCTGTCGCGCGTGGGGGGGCAGAGGCTGCGACCCCCCCCAAAACCCCCAAAACCAGCGACACCGGGGGCACAGGGACCCCCCGAGACCCCCGCGTGTCCTGGGTGTGACCTGTGCGTGTGTCCTGTGTGTGACACGCGTGTCCTCTGTGTGTCCTGCGTGTGACACGGGTGTCCTGTCCGTGTGTCCTGCGTGTGACACGGGTGTCCTGTCCGTGTGTCCTGTGTGTGACACGCGTGTCCTGTCCGTGTGTCCTGTGTGTGAGACGCGTGTCCTGTCCGTGTGTCCTGTGTGTGACACGCGTGTCCTGTCCGTGTGTTCTGAGGGTGTCACGCGTGTCCTGTCCGTGTGTTCTGAGGGTGTCACGCGTGTTGTCCCCCCCCGTGTCCCCTCGCCTGTCGCATTCCTGCCGCCCACGGGCAGCAGCTGCGCGGGGCGGGGGGCGGCGGAGACGGGCAGGGGATGGGGGGCACTGGAAGGACTGGGATGGAACTGGAATGGACTGGGAGTGGGTTGGGGGAACTGGGAGGGAACTGGGTGGGAATTGGGGAGGACTGGGAGGGGGTTGGGGGGACTGGGGAAGGGGGGGAATGAAGGGACTGGGGTGAGTGGGAGGACTGGGGAGAACTGGGACAAACTGGGACGAACTGGGATGGACTGGGTGGAGTGGGAGGCGCTGGGGGACGTGTGGGGGGTGGAGGACTGGAAGGATTGGGATGGACTGGGGGGGGGAGTGAGCAGGACTGGGGGATACTGGGAACGACTAGGACGGACTGGGAGGACTGGAGGGAACTGGGAGGGACTGGGATGGACTGGGGGCTCTGAGGAGTGGGGGGAACCGGGAGGACTGGGATGGGCTGAGAGGACTGGGTGGGACTGGGGGGACTGTGGGGACTTTGGGGGGGCCTGGAGGACTGAGGGGTCTGAGCACTGGGGGGGACTGGGGATCTGGGAGAACTGGGATGGATCTGGGGGGACTGGGATGGAATGGGACGGGCTGGGAGGACTGGGTGGGACTGGGGGAAACTGGGACGGACTGGGAGGGGCTGGGACGGGCTGGGGGCAGGGCTGTGTTCCGGGAGGGGGCGGGGGGCGGTCCCGGGTCCCCCGTGGGGACGGTCCCGGCACGGGGCCCCCGGTCCCGCGTCAGCGCTGTTTGTTCAGCTTGGGGGGCAGCGGGGGGGGACAGCGGGGGGGACACGGGGGGGACAGCGGGGACTGGGGAGGGGGGCAGGGGGGGACAACCGAGGGACGGACAGGGGACAAAGGGACTGGGACAGACTGGGAGGCACTGGGAGCACCGGGGGGACTGGAACAGACCGGCACTGGGAGGACTGGGAGAGACTGGGGGAACTGGGAGGGACTGGGAGCACTGGGGGGACTGGGGGAGCCAGGACAGACGGGGGAACTGGGAGGACTGGGAAGCACTGGGAGGACTGGGACAGACTGGGGAGACTGGGATGGATTAAGGGGACTAGGACAGACTGGGAGGCGCTGGGAGGACTGGGATGGACTGGGACAGGCAGGCACTGGGAGGACTGGGGGGACTGGGATGGATTGAGGGGACTGGGAGGACTGGACAGACTGGGGGCACTGGGAGGACTGGGATGGACTGGGAGCACTGGGAAGAAGCAGCACAGGGGGAACTGGGGGACGTTGGGAGGACTGGGAGGTGCTGGGGACAATGAATGGGCAGACTGGGCAGTACTGGGACAAACTGGGGGGTACTGGGGGTGCAGGAATGCACTGGGGTTACTGGTGTGCACTGGGGTTACTGGTGTGCACTGGGGTTACTGGTGTGCACCGAGGGTGTGGGGCTGCACGGGGAGCGCCGGGCTCTGTACTGGGAAGATACTGGGGGGATACTGGGAGGATACTGGGAGGATACTGGGCAGTGCTGGAGGGTGCGGCCGCCGCAGGGAGCGGGGCCGCGGGCTGGGGGAGCCGATAACTGGTGCAGACTGGTGACACTGGTGTCCCTCACTGGTGTCACTGGTGTAACTAGTGTCACATACTGGTGTCACTGGTGCTACTGGTGTCACTGGTGTCCTTCACTGGTGTCGCTGGTGTCATTCATTGGTGTCACTGGTGTCACTGGTGTCCCTCACTGGTGTCACTGGTGTAACTAGTGTCACATACTGGTGTCACTGGTGTCACTGGTGTCACTGGTGTCATTCATTGGTGTCACTGGTGTCACTGGTGTCCCTCACTGGTGTCACTGGTGCCCCCCCCCTCCCCCGTTCTTGAGCTGCCCTTGGCGGTTGCCATGGAGATAAAGCCAGGAAAGGGGGGGGCACTGGGAGGGGACCTTGGCACCAAACTGGGGACACTGGGGGGGGATGGGGCCGGGGGGGGGGGGGCGGGAACAGCCGGAGTTTGGGAACAGCCGGAGTTTGGGAACAGCCGGAATTTGGGAACAGCCCAAACAGACGGAATTTGGGAACAGCCGGAATTTGGGAACAGCTGGAGTTTGGGAACAGCCGGAATTTGGGAACAGCCCAAACAGACGGAATTTGGGAACAAATGGACACAGGACAAACGGCCACTGTGGACAACAGGACACGGGACAAACGGAATTTGGGGGACAACCAGACACTGGGAACAGCCGGAATCTGGGGACAAGGGGACACCTGGAAGAGTCTCCATGGGTACAACCAGACCCAGGAGCAACCGGAGCCTGGCAACAATCAGACACCGGGAACGAAACGGGGTGGGCACAGCCTGATCCTGGCAACAGTCAGACCCTGGCAACAGCCAAATTTTGGGAATATTTGGATTCCTGGCAACAGTCAGACCCTGGGAACAGCTGGATTTCAGGAACAGCTGGATTTTGGGAACAGCTGGATTTAGCCACAGTCGGTCCCTGGGCACAGCTGGATCCCGGGAACAGTCAGATTTCGGGAACAGACCCCGGGAACAGTCAGACCCCAGGCACAGCTGGATCCCAGGAACAGTCAGACCCTGGGCACAGCCGGATTTTGGGAACATTTGGATTCAGGGGAACAGCCAGAGCCAGGGAACAATCAGACCCGGGGAACAGCCAGATGACCCTGGGAACAGCCAGAGCCTGGGAACAGCCAGATTTTGGGAACAGCCAGAGCCTGGGAACAGCCGAGTCCCCTGGTACAACCGCTCCTGTGGCACCATGGATCCCTTGGGAACAGCTGGAGCCCGGGCACAGCTGGACCCTGGGCACAGCCGGACCCTGGGAACAGCCGGAGCCTGGGAACAGTCGGACCCTGGGAACAGCCGGACCCTGGGAACAGCCCCCTCGTTTCTCCCCCCTCGCTGTCCCCCCCATCTCTCCCCATTCCGGGCTAATTTTAGCCCCCGGCCGCATTCCCGGGCACCTCCCGGTGCCAGGCGGGGTCAGACCGGGAGCTCCGGGCACCCCCCGGGCTGGGGAACCCCCAAAAACCAAACAAAACCCCCAAAAAACAAACGACACCCTCAAAAAATAAACAACACCCCCAAAAAATAAACAACAGCCCAAAAAATAAACAACAGCCCAAAAAATAAACAACACCCCACAAAAAATAAACAATACCCCAAAAAAATAAACAACAGCCCAAAAAATAGACAACACCCCACAAAAAATAAACAACACCCCACAAAAAATAAACAACACCCCACAAAAAATAAACAACACCCCACAAAAAATAAACGACACGCCCAAAAAACAAACAAAACCCCCAAAAACAAACAACACCCCCCAAAAAAACAAATGACACCCCCCAAAAAACAAACGACACCCCCAAAAACAAACAACACCAAAAAACAAACGACACCCCCAAACAACCAAAAAACACCCCCAGAAAACAGACAACAGCCCCCAAAAAACAGACAACACCCCCCAAAACAAACGACACCCCCCAAAACAACCAAAAACCACCAAAACCACCCCCCTGCTCGGGGGGGGCACCGAGGCTCCGGCAGCCTCAGGGCAGCGCCCCCCCCCCCTCCCAAAAAGGAGCGGCCCCCCCTCAATGCGAGCCGGGGAGGGGGGGGGTCCGGATGTGGGGGGGTCCCGCTGGATTTGGGGGGGTCAGGAAG